TCTGTAAGAAAATTGTACCAAGGAAATAGTGAGGTTCTGAGCTGTGTGTAAAGTGCGGTATTCAGTTCCCCAAGTGCAGAGCTCAGCCTTCTAGGTAACAATGGGATAGAATCATATAAGGTCGGAAGGGATCTTAAAGATCGTCTAGTTCCAGCCCTGCTGCTCAGCCTTGTGTGTTGTATCTGAACATTCTGCAGTACTCAGTTCACTATTATATTATCAAACTTGTTTGGAAAACATTTCTTCTGAAATTTGCTGCTGTGTCAAGCCAAGGGATTCCATACAGTTTGACCATTTCCTCCTCTGGGTAAATTTTAGGGCCTGTCCAGTGTGATCACCTCAGACAAGTGCTGCCCTTGTTTTTACAGGCTTTTGGTTTATAGACACTGACATGCCAGTAATCACTGTCTTCTCTGTCACATAAATTGACCCAAACGTATTTTGGGTTGAGCTCCAGAGGACAAGCAAAAATTTCTTACTTGCAGCTCTTCTGGTTGCTTTTCTTTCTTGTCTGCTGTTCTGGGGCAGTTTCCTTCCCATAACGTAGCTGTGCCCCATAGACATGGGTACTTCAGGCAGAGAGTGGGCTGCCCCTAGAGCTGGCACGAGGGCTCACTGGGTGCAATGGCAGCTGTTGCAGCAGAGCTTCTGGAGGTGGGCTTGTGCTGGTTTCAGCATCGCAGTTTTAAATGCATGTATACACTGTAATCATGCTTTAAAAATGACAAAGAAAGAGGAGGGCCTGTTAATTACTAATAGTAATGTAAGTTACTGTGAGTTTCAGTGTGTACAGAGATTCTAAAAGAGAATTTTCTGTGTTTTTTTTTCCTTTGAAATCTTTCTACTGCACACATTCATTTTAATTATGTGCTCATATTCGTTCTGAATATGGACTATCGGCATCATTTGGAAACAGTCTGGTTTTCTAAATGCTTAAGTCTCTTGGAGAAAAAGAGCTGTTATTTAAGCTATAGTTTCTGAGCACAGCTTCTAGCTATGGTCTGCCAGAGTTAGGACACAGAGCAAAAGGTTAGGGGAAATTTTAAGTACTCATTTTGAGAACCTTACAATGCTTTTAAAGTGAGACTTAACTTTTATTTCCTTGATTTCTAGAAAGCTATCAATATCAAATTCCTCAATGTGTTAATGTGTTTTGAATAAAGCATTGTTATGGCCAGCAGCATAATTCAGCATTTGTCTGATGATTTCTTTAAATGTCCATCTTAAAAGCACTAAGGGAATAGTAAGATACTAACATGGTAGAGAACATCAGAGGTCACTAGAAGTTGGGATTTACAATTAAATTGGTAAGTAGATACGTGTCCTGTGTTCTCCTAAGAAATTTGATAGGGGGATTTGAGCATTTTTTACTGTATTCCAAAAGAATGAGGCTTATGCTTCTTTTATTAACTTCTGTCAAATGTGGTTAAAAAACACATAGGAAGCCAGAGTTCATTTATTCAGTTGCTCACAGAATTACTTGGGGGCATTTAGAGTGTGAGCAGAACTTTTTCTTATTTTAGATCTACAGATACTTTTGCATTAACTTTAGTACCAGTAATGGCAAATACTTAGGATGGTGATAAGGAACAAGGCTTACCTTCCAGGCTGTTCCTTTGTGTTTTGTGAATAGCATGATGTGTTTGATAATTTAGATATTGTCCATTGGTCACTTGTAGCAGAAGCTCTACTCTGTGAACAGATGGTACCTGGAATGAGATCTGGACTCCTTTCTGTGGCTCTGAGCTTCCAGGTTCATTGCCTCTGCCCAAGACAGGAGTTTGGTTATACTTTGCCCTCAGCTACTGAAATTCCTATTTGACAGGAATTTTGACTTCTCACCAGAAAACCTCTGAATTTTCTGTTTTATGAACCTGTCCTTTCTAAGTCCTTTTAGCTAATTGTTCCCTTCATGCAATCTCCTGAACCCAAAAGCAGAAGATAGTTCAAGCACTTATATTATGCAAGCATTTACTTAACTATCCTTGTCATTTTCCCTAGTGAGATTGTCAAGTCAACTTGGTGTTTGCAAGAGAGTGTGTATTTTCATGGATACTTTGCACGGTGTCACAGAGCTAAATCTAAAAGGACTATTTTGAGCATAAAAAGATGATATATTTTTTCTTTTCTTTTGCAGTGCAATTTTCCAGGGAACCAGGATGGCTAGAAGGCACATTAAATGGCAAGAGAGGACTGATTCCACAAAATTATGTTCAGTTTTTATAGCTTTATGCATTGAACGCCAAGAAGGTGTACATGGTATCCATGGATTTTTGTTATAGTCACTTCTCTTCACTTTCGTGACCATTTTTAATCAACGAAGAACCTGATTGTGGGTTGAAGATCCCAGTATGTTTAAAGACATTAAGTGTTGCCAAATACAAGTTAGAAATGAAAGATTCTTCAAGGTTTGGAATCAATGGGGACAGAATAGTTGGATGGCGAGAAGGTTTAATTTTTTAATAGTTATTTCAATTGTAACAATCTGGTTGTTTGCACGGTAACTAGCATTTGAAGTCAAATCTTTGGTTTATCTGTGGCTCAGCTCTCAGTTGAAGGTGATTTTTAAAAATTAGTGTCCAGAAGATTACGTATCCATATCAGCCATTTTTAACAGACTGTTATTTGAGTGTGGAAAGTATTGTTGGATAAAAAAAAACTATCATGCTGACACCTAAATTATATTTCAAAAAGTGGAAATAGATGATGTGGAACTGATATATTGGTAAGTAAAATTATAGGTATCAAGACATGACATTTTTCAAATGTCTTCAAAGAATACACTCATGTATGTTGTGTGTGTGACTTCATTTATTTTATTAAGGTAAGACACTTGAGCTTTTATTATAGGCTCCTATCTGCTGTGGTTCCTTTGTTACTCAAAAATATCACTGTAAATGAAATAAAATGATGTTTGGTATTTGACCTTAGTCATTCTTTAGGTGGAGAATATTTTGTCTGGTTGTGTAAGTTACAACATTAAATAATTATTGGCAGCTTTATTAAGTCGGTCACAAAGAGGCTCTTAAATGGATGGGGAACTCAAAAGGCAACTTGGCAAGCCCAAGCCAAAGGAAAAGAGAATCTATGTGATTCCTGTATATCCTGGAAAAATCTTTCATTTTATCTGCTGGCTTGTTCTCGAGCTTCCCTTTCTTCCTCTCCCATAATTGTACATTGTAAGGTCTTAACGATACTTCATAGTATCACAGTCCTCAAGTAGCTGCCTCAGAATTTGTAGAACTATTTGTGTAGAAAGCGAGTTATCTGTGATCACAGAAAAAGCTTCTAGAAACCCTGTGGTGTATAAATCTGTGCCTTGTGATAAAAATGTGATATGCAGTCTATCGTTAATCTTTGTATTTCTTCTCTCCTTCAAGAAAGACCCTTTGGGAGGCAGTGGAGAGGATGCAGGAAAATCTGACAGGATGGCGTGTTAGTACAGGTTCATTTATTTGTTAAATTGGACTCTATGGATTTAGAGTAATTTACTACAGATATACTTTGCTTGCAGGTTTTTCTAACCAATGTGATTAGTAAACCAGTTAATGGTTAACACTGCCTTAAGGTTGAGGTGTTTCTTATCCCCTTAAGATTTAACTCCATACTGCCTTTTTGTTCCTTTGCCTAGACTGTGGAGACTCCACTGGAGTATACCCAAATCATTTCCAGATGGAGCAGTGGTGGGCCAAGTCAGTACGGCTCTCCAGCACTAAACCTCACAGCTTAGAGGAGTTTCATTTGATGAATTCTCCCCAAATGCGAGCAGTGACTCTGCCATAAGCAGTCCTTATCTTGGCACAGTGGCTGAGTGACCCAAGCACAGAAAATGACTTCTGGACTTCTGTAAAGAAAATCCAGTTCTCAGATTTACTCCTTGATACGCTTTTAAGGAAACAGTCACACCAATAAATACAGTAAGAGATGGCAGGTTTCCTTGCTCAGATCTGTTCACGTGGCAAAGTGCTGTTCTGGCTGGATGTTGTGTCACCTGGGACCATAGCCGTAGGAATTCGTTTGTGACCTTCAAGAGTCATTCTGAATGCAAGATGTTGTCTTTGTGGCCACGTTCAGATTCCATTGCTACTAGCTGAGAATGTTGGACAGAACCGCTAGAATGTAAATCTCTGTTATTCACCTAGGAGGTGTGGCTGCAAGACATGCTTTCTCCTCAGTTAGCCAAGCTGCGATAACTTGAAGCTTACAAGCTTTCTTAGTCGCTTCCAGTTGTTTTGTTGCTGTTTTAAATGTGCAGTGCATGTTAGATCTTGTTCTGGTTGCTTTCTTACAAAATTCTCAGCTCTAGCTCTGCTCTTTCTGCATTTCTTGTTTCTTTTGACTGAGAGGGTTAAAAAAGGTGGATGCATAGAGTAGAAGTAAAAGGCAGTATGGTGTCCCTTCAGCCCAGTCCTGTGACTGTATTTGCCTTTAGGTGAGGTGCTCTGAGATTCCTATTACTGCTAGAGCCATGCAGAACCCAAAGATGAAAATTTTGCCACTGGGCAGTAGTGCAATGAGCAGAAGTAATGCTAATTCAAACTTTCTCAAATCCCGGACCTTGTCCAAAAGCAGTGGTGTGAGTAGAGCCAGATCTGATCTGGCTTTCAGGTTAACCACGCTGCCTCTTAGGAATTTAGCAGTGGTAGCTGCCCCCCAGCATATGGTTTTCCACATCAGTCTGGTCATACCAATGTTGACTACGGTCAACATTGCAGCTGAGTAGATGTGGCACCTCTCATGCTTCACTCTCATTGTTGAATAGCTCTGTAAGTGATGCCCTCACACTGACTGTCTGAAAGTAGAGATTAAAGGATGCTACAGAATAAAAATGTTACCAAGAAAGTCAGGCTTCTTTCCAGCCTTTGAGATTCTAGTTTTCTTTCACAGAATCACAGAATTGCCAGGGTTGGAAGGGATCATGAATCTCCAACCCCCCTGCCACATGCAGGGCCACCAACCTTCCCACCTAATGCTAGACCAGGCTGCCCCAACTAATCTGGCCTTGAACGCCTCCAGGGACAGGGCATCCACAACCTCTCTGGGCATCTTTCCTAAAGATACGTCTCATACTATGTCTCCCATCTTTCTTTTCCACAGTCTGGGAAGCGTAGCGTTAACCTGAAGCAAGACGGGAGGCAGGAAATCAGCTATGAGGAAAGCCAGATGAAGGGCTGGCTGGCTCTAGCCTGGCAGCAGCAGCGCTGCTCAGCACTTCTGGGCTCAGTCCTCTCCCAGGGAGCTGTTCTCACATCCCAGCTGTGGGTACGGTTTGAGCTTAATCCGCAGGCAGGGTTTCCCCGCCCTTGCAATGCGCTGTGCACAGTGGCATGTATGACTCTGTTTTCAAAATCTGAGATTCCCTGAAGCAAACGCCTGACGCAGGCTGCAAATGGGGGAGGGCGATTTAGGAATCAGCTGTTCTGTGCTTTTTATGCAGAGTGACGTTTTCTTTGCCCTCTCTTTGGGAACAGAGATTGAAACCCTCCACGGGGGACTGAAGTCTAACATGTGCTTGCGGAATAATTGATGGAAAAGCTGAGCCTCCAGCCCACTTGGGCTAAGTAGGAATGTGCAATATGTATTACTCACTGGCCAGCATTCGGCTCTCCTCCTTTGCTGGGCGGCACTTTCACTTTGCTGTTCTCTCTGGGGCTTTCAGGCTGCTGAGTGTTGTTAACCATTGTCCTCCCTGATGGTCGTGGCAGGTTTCCTGCTGGTGCCCAGTCCTTCATTGCGTTGAGAGAAAAATCTTATGACTGCTGTATCTGCCCTGTAATGAAAACAAGCAGTTCTGCTACATTGCTTACAATTTTTGCTAGCTGAGCCTTTGTAATTAATTGCATCATAGAAAAATCTCAGGGAGAAATTTGCAATTTCATTGTTCTGTTCCTTCATTTCTTTCCTTTAACCATTTCGCAATTCTTACCTGGTTTTGAATTAAATGAGCAAATTCCATCCACTGCTGACAGAAGGTTTGTGCAGCCTGTAAACACGCCAGAGCCATACACAGGGTAATTGGGAAGCCTTCCTTGGAGTCGCACCTTGTTGGTTCAATATGCCTCAGACAAAGTTCTCACCAGCAGAATTCATCCACGTGCCTTCATCTGCACTTGCAGTAACCTCAGGTAAGCACCAAAAAAATAATCTAATTCTACTGATATCTGTAGTTAACATGTTTTAACACTCTGCCGGATGGCATGTTTTAACTATCAAACATCTTTGAAATGAAAGGGTATTTTTCACTACTTTCTATCTTAGCAATACCATTGTACTTAACATGAAGTCCTGTTCCCTGTAGATACCTGAGAGAAAGCAGTGTCCCAGCTTGAGGTCAGAGAAAAAGTTTTGTTTTGTTTTTAAGTAGCGATAGCATTTTCTTATTTCTAGAACAGCATATGACAGATACATCTGCTTCCAAGCAGATGGGCAATTTTTCTGACAATTCAGCAAACAGAAGGCAGGTGCAAGGATTTTTGGCAATAGAAAGTTTGCACGACTTGTTACTATTAAAAGAAACAAAAAGCAAAGTGCAGTTAAATGGTGATCTTGCATTGCAGCCCGAGCTTCATGCTGAACTCTGTGATAAATATGTAGGGGAGCACAGAACAAACCAGCATAGCAAGAGCTGTGTTTCCCCTTCTGAATTTCTTAGCATAATTGGAAGAGGCTCAACTCTTGAGAAGGCTGTTTATTAACTTGAGAAAGCCTGTGTATGTAGAACAGTGACTCCCTATTTCCACAAAGGAAAAAAACAACTGGTCAGTGGGGACAGCAGCCCTAGGATAGCTCAAGCTGGACGCCAGGCTTGCCCAGCTATTGAAGGTTGCAGGGTTTGCTTTGTTGAGTAGAATGTGTCAGTGTCACCACTTATTCCTTGGGAAACACAAAGACCCCAATTAATTAAGGGAACAAAACTCCTCAAAGTTGAACATTTCTTATTATACCCTGAACACAGCCACTGTCTGGCTGAAATAGACAGAGCTGGCTAAATGCAAATGGCTAGGTGGATGAAGACAGATGTTAGATTGCAATGTTAGTTACTGTGTTGTTTGATATTGTTTCCAAATGCGCAGAAGCTTCTTTCTAAGGTTATCACTGCACCAGCAGCTATCTGAGATTAAAATGCAAGAAGTACTTGCAATCAAACCAGTTTAATTCATGTACATTTGTACAATTTGTATAAAAAAAAAAAAAAAAGAAAAATAGGTACTTGCAGACATTAACATAAAGACCAAACAATATTTTCTATTTATTTAAAAAGCTTTAAACATACAGAAGCAAACCCCTAATTATAAATGCATCATTATGCATAGATGTTACTGTTTACACCATACTGCTGGCTGCTTGTATTTTTCCATCCAGGAATCTAGTTAAACTCCAAGAGTGCTTAAACATTCCTCTGAGCTTCCTGGCCTCAGAATTGCTTGCTGTCTATCTTATCAAGTCATTGACCTCCAGCTGAAAACATTGCTCTAAAAAAAGAAAGTCAAATCTTTAATAAACAATTAAAAGTGCATTAACTGTAGAATTGTTTAATTTCATAAATGCTTAAACAAGTCAGTGAAAAACACCACCCTGTGAATTAGCTTTTTGCATTATTGATTGTAAAGTATCGTTTTAATAAGATTTTGCTACTGCAAACTTTAGTCTATTTTACTTTGTGCAACCTGTCGGTTGCACGGTGTGTAGTATTCCTGAAATACCCACTGCAGTACATTGACACTATTTTACATTTTTAACTGCGTATACAATGCTCTTGCTGTATATCCCCGTCCTTTCTTACAACAAAATAATTTAGCTCAGTGAACAGAAGCCCACTCTTAAAGGATGTTTTCGTTTGTCTTGTATTTTGCAGGAGACAAATGCCTATTTCATTCTAAACAAATTCAAAATAACATAACTTTGTGGTAGCTGAAAACCAAAGGTTTTGTTTCCTGCTGTACGCAGGTTTAGATAACAAAAAAAAAGGGATGGCTATTCTGCTTGTGTCCTTGATAAGAGAATACTGCCTCTTACAACATCTATATCCAATTGTATCTATTACTTCAATGAGCTCTAGCAAAAAATAATAATCAATGAATGGTTTCATAAACAACAGGTGATTAAAGTAAAGGATTTATTATAATCTGCTTACAGTTGTTTGCAAAGACAGACATACGTTTTTGCATAAAGATATAAATTGCTTTTTAAAACTAATTTAGTGTGTTTAATTATATGAAGTTTCTGTGAATTATGAATTGTACCAAACCAAGATTAAAAGTAATAAGGTACAAAAATAGGAGCAAACAGACAACAATTTGGACTGGGACAGGCATTTAACAGTGAAGTGTAGAATATGGCTTTGCTATTTTAATCAAGCAAAGTTACTCTGAGACAGAAAAGGAGGCAGTAACTTTGTTAATATAAAAAGCTGCTGCAGACTGTATTCACCCAGAACCTGGCTTTGAAATTTTCTATTTTAGACTCAAAAAATTAATTAAAAAAAAAAAAAAAGGTGAAAAGATGAATGTATGACTGTTTCTTTACTGTAAACAACCAGTCTGCATGCTGTGTATCTCACGCTGGAAGTTTGGCTTTCATATTGCTGTGCAGGTCAGTATTTAAAGATCTGCCTATGAATTAGACTTCCAAAATGCAAATAATATATGTATGTATATATTTATATATAAAAAACCTCTCTGAATACAGTCTTTACAGTTTACCCATTGCATAAGGCAGGTGTCATTTAAAAAGACAAGTAGCACTGACTGTCTTCAGTGCACCAAAGCACACCTCAAAATTTGGAATCAGAAAGGGTACGAAACTCCTATTGGACCACTGTTTCAAAGAAATGCTACATTCTGACTGGTCAAGGGACAAATCATAGCTCAAAAACATCAGTGTCACCCAGAGAGAACACTACAGATTAGGACTCAGAAAAAACTATTCTATTTAAATTAGCATATGGTAGCAACAGTTGAGCCTCAGAAAAGTTCATCTGTCCTCTATTCTACACCAAAATTTTGTATTCGTTTATAAATTGTGAAATATAGTGTAAATCACCTCAAAAAGGTTTTGTTCACAGTCTCGTTCTAGAGAAAACATTTTGAGACAAAATCAGACTGAGCTGAACTTGTAGCGTCAACAGTTTTCCGTGTGTTCTGATTATTACAAAAATTCATACAAAATTAAACGCGCTCTGAGTTTACCACTAAAAATTCTACTCTGCTAATCTGCCCATCTCGGTACCTTGCCATCCCTCTTGCTGGTACTTACTGTCATGATCTGCATGTTCCCTTCCTCATAATCAGAAACCGTTCTCCTCAATCTGAAATAATAATCTGACCTTCAAAGATGTTTCATGTATCCAGTATTCGAAGGAAAAAAAAACAAAAACAACACAATTTGGGAAACATTAATTAAAAATAGCAAATCATTCAATGGCTTATCTGCCTCTCCTCCCCTGGGAGACAAAGGGAGTAGAGGGCAGGAACTCACGCTATCATTACGCTGGCAAAAGCTTTGGAGAGACTGTAATTTGTCTTGTTAAATGAAACCTTCGTAAGTGGCAAACACAAAAAAGTGTCGTTTCCTACAGAAACATGAAGCAGGATTTCCAAGATGTGCTCATCACGTACACTTGCAAGCGAGACAAAAGAGAGAAAAATATGGAGGAAAATAGAAAGGCTTAAATACAACTGAAAAGGTTAAGTGTGGTTATTTACAACAGATACTATAGGATGGTAAATTAGATATGATGCTAAAAAAGGCACAGCTTTCCCTTTCTTAAATACACTGTAAACGGTTCATTATGCATGCAGAACATTTCACTTTACAAAAAAATTACCTTGTTTGTTTAGACAAAGATAGTACTTAAATAGTCTCCAGCAAAATAGAGTTCTTTCAAAAATACTTTCCCATTCATCCTATTAACCATTAAAGATTTGTTTGTCTCATTTACAAAAGTTCCTTACACCTTATTTCAGGTCCTTCACAATTTATACATACAGCAATGTACAGTACAGCAAAAGACTGCAAAAAATTATTTGTAAAGCCAGCACAATAGATACTATAAATTGATACCAGGGCATTTGTTTTCACATCTTATCCTTCTTAATTAAATAGTAAATGGACACTTAACACAGTGTATATCATCTAGGGTGGGATAACATGGGATAACAAATGCCACAGGTGGGGATAACAGAGTATTCCACACCAAATGTTCTGTTATTACTTTACACAGTAGGGTTTTTTTTTTGTGTGTGTGTATATATGTGTATATATAGAGTTTTTGTTTTTTGTTTTTTGTTTTTTTTACAAGAAAAGAATATTAATGCCCCATATTGACTTTACGTTTTATGTGCAAACCAAGGGTAAGCTTTAAAAAGTTCTCATTAGTTCTTGAACCCTTTTAAAACAAGCAAACGATACCAGAAACTACATGGCATATTTAAAACTCCATCTGTTAAAATATCAAAATCAAAGAGTTATTGACTAGATATGGCTTTTCATCCAGAGGAACAGGAACATTTTCTAAGTGTTTTAGGGTTATGGGGTAATTTCCAAACATCTAGGTCTTGCCAAATCCAAGTCAACTGTTTTCCATTCCCCAAACCCTTCATATGATTTTAAACTATTCAGAGACTGCAGAACAAGTGTAAATAGCATGTTTAAAATATGGTTTCTTGGGTCCTTCATGGGTGTGGAATAACACAGGGAAACTTAAGGCAAAGTTCTTCCATTTAAGACATTTTCTATCACTTCCTGTGAAAGTACAGGGGCTTGGCATTCCCAGATTCCACCTTTGGTAGCTGGTCACTGATGATTTCCACCAGCATGGCTGGAAACTCTACTTTCAGTGCCTGAGACTCTCGGAAGGTGTAGAAACAGAATTCCAATAAGTCACTAACAAGCTGAAATACAGAAAGAAACAATTTTTAGGAAAAGTGCAGAGAATTTTGTATCCAAACAAGAGCTTGTTGACAATGAAAGATTATTACTAAGGAAATGGTATCTTATTCTGACTTGGATAGTCCATTTGCAAGCAACGAAGCGACAGGCAAACAGAAGTTCTCAAGTCTGAAAGTGCTGCTTCACCGTTCAAAAATCAGCTAATGAAGGGAAACTGCATTACCACCGCCGAGCTCATTTTTCAACACTATTACACTTTTCATTTCACTAAGAGGTAACTGGCCACTGTGAAAACTGTTGGTGCTCCACATGTGTATGAAAGTAAAGGCTTCTGCCCCAAGGGAAAAGATCAGCCATAACCTACAGTATCTTTACATCCCAGCTGAACGTGGAGGTGTTGAGCTGATAAAACATTTGTATTCATGTGTCCATACCTTTGTGATACACGCACACACCAGCCACTCTTACTGTTTTCTTCTCATTAAGCTTCCAGAGGCACTATTTAGGGAAGTATTAGTTCTTTTCAAAAATAAAGTTCTCTATTTTTGGTAACAGCCCACTAACTAAGCACAATGTGTAGAACTTGAAAGATGAGATAAAAATTTCTAAGGAGTCCCTGAATGACAGAAAAGGAAACTTGTATGATACTTCAACTACTGAGTTGCTCAATACAGGGCCACCATAGATCCCATGTGCACCTTACGCTCAGCAGCAGCAATCCTTTAGCTGGCATAAGTTTTCATCGATGAAATCCTACCACAGTTCTCCCATCTGGGAAAGGGCTGCAAGTTAAAATCCTAAATGGCATACCGATACCATCAGCTTTCTGATTTGTGGAGAAAAAAATAGAGCATTTCTTAAAAGCACCAATAAATTTAGTCTGGATTCTATCTTGCCTCAAGTTTTGTTCTTCTCATTTGTCAGCCTTAGAGCTTCATTTTGCTATATACCTTATAGGAAATGGACCACACTACATGAATTACAGCTTTTTTATCTGTCTCCACACAAAACTGCAGACTGTTTAAAAAGTCAAATATTACACACACTCAACTTTGGTGCCTTCTGTCGTTACAAAAGATTTACACATTTCTCCTCCTGTCGTTATCAAATACAAGTTTGTTGTTTCAGTTCTCAACACAGAGAGTTGCACTCTGCAGTAGGGGCTCAGTCAAAGAGGCAGGAAATAAAAGTGTACTCCAGCAAGACTGAAAAATAAACTCATACAGGCAATGTTGGACAGCCCTCCTGCAGCACTATACCAGACATTTTCAGGACTTTCACAGCTGTTCTTGTAAACATATAAGCAATTTGTGAACACTGAGAAAATGCTGGGATCACCGAGATGCGTAACTTGCTGCTGTTGAGCACTACGAGAGTCTGTTTGCCATTGCTTAGTTCATTCCTGATCATTTGGCATGTCATGAGGTAATGCTAATTAATAAAAACAGATGCACGCTAAAGAAGTAGTGCAGATAGAATCTGGTTTTCAAGGAAAAAATGCTGATGTTCAAAAGTTTAACTTTGGTCATTAGGAGGAGACTGTTCCTACCTACACCATGCGCAGAAAATATATTATTATGCTGGCTCCTGGCACACAGCCACCATCCTATTGCCCCTGTCATCAAGCAGCAGCACCTCAGCAAACCAACTCTTACAAAACAAGCCTTGCCTGGACACCGAACTCAAGTACTCACATATTGCTGAATGGAAGAGGGGCATCAGGTTGGGGCATCTCTGCCAGCCCTTGCCACCCAACCAACCATGTCATACTAGTGGCTCACCTGCTGCAAAATTTAAGCTAATTCCTGCCTTATTATGCCAATCTTACAGTTCTATTGTTTTACTATTATTATTATTATTATTATTTTTAAGTAATAACTTCAAATGCAGTGAGCTATATATCACAGAAAAACATACTCAAACTATTAATTCTGCCTTCATAGCTAGCTTTTAGTGAGACTAAGTATACATGAGAATGTGGACATGTAGAATAAAGGGGAACTGAAAAATATCAGCATTCATGAAGAGAGCGTAATCTGTTCTATACAATAAATGAGGTAACAGTCCAGTAGGGAAAACAGGAGGTGATTGCGGCTGCTGTTGTAACACAGCACATCATGAGTGCCACCACTCATGCCAAAGGAGAAGAAAAGTTAAATTTACCGAGCAAGTAAAAAAATATCATCCAGAACTCTAAAACTACCTGGTTTTATTAAGTGGTTACCGACCACTTAATATGTTCTATACCAAGTAAGTCCTCCCAAATGTTTGGCCCTCTTATTCCTTTCTTAGGAAAGCCAAATTACCAACTTCAACATATCCAACAACAACCAGTCACTGTAATATAGCAACAGCATTCAGAGCTTAGAGTTGAAGCGCACATACCACGTGTGTAACAAGGACCACTGCACTGTCATTAAATAACTAGCTTTAAAAGCTCATTGTTTGGGGACCTAGTACTAGTATTTTATATAATATATATATATATTTTAACAAAAGAATCGACATAGGAAAATCAGAAGCACCAAAGTGTGAACAATATGGTAAGGTCAGCTAGCAAAGGCTGCAGAAATAACTGATGGGAGGGAGAAGGAAGGCTGAGCACTAAGCAGCGAGCAGTGCTCTTCTCTGCACATGGTTCACATGTGCTCAAATGCTGCCCAGCAGCTTTGGCACAAAGGAATGAGAAATCCAGGTTCCATAGGCACTGTTAGTTTTGAAATCTGAGTCCTGTTTCTGCAACCCAAGCAGCATTCATCTGATATTACAGCACACCAATTCACTTGATTTTTAAGTGGTAAGTAATTTAGCTAGACCTTTGCATTAGAAGAGAAGCTCCCTCTCCAGTAAGGAAATTAAAAGCTTGCTTTCTTTTCGAAGATACAAGCTCTGTCCTTGTGGTGACAGTGACTGATACACCGCAGGCTACAAGTAATCTCTAAATGAGAAAGATAACACACCTCCATGTTTGCCTCATGATTTTTCTCCACCAAACAGACTGCTGGATAGAATTCTGCAGGCAGGGATGACCTGTGGTCTGGAACCCTTTACCACATCAGTCTATAACTGCTCCTTCTTCTCTCATCACTGGCAGCAGAACTGCATTTAAACATTCTCAAGGCTACAGCCCTCCTGGTAGCCCTCAGATTTTGTCTTAATCAATCTTTACATCTGTATGCTGTATTAAGCGCCTCTGGGAAAGAGGACGAATAATCAAACTTCATTTTCTGTTATTAGGGTGGGTTTTTTCATTAAATGGACTTTTTCCACCCATTCTGCTCTTCATAATTAGAAAAATGAATCTCTTAATGAAGTCTCTGAAGTTAATACAGTTACCATGACCTCTGAGCACTGATAATTTTTTTGACAGCAAAAAGCATCGCTTTCAGTTTGGCACTCACAGCACGCCTGGTGCTGCCAGAAGTGCCTGGAGCGGTCTCTCTCGTGCAGGGCTGCATGCTCCTGTGCTAAGCTGGTTATCTCACGTGGGAATCTCCATGATCTGTGTGCGTGGTGTGGAAGTCCACGGGCACTGCTCTGTCAGAAGCACATCTGTAACAAAGCCTCCTGATCGGCAATTAAGGCAGCAGAAGGGTAACAATGCAACACCAAGTAACATTTTGCTACTGTTAGCTGCAGCTATCACAGACAAAACCTCAGCATACTCACACCACAATGACAGTCGGAAAACTTTCTTTTTTAACTTAAAGTTAAAAAAGTCTGTGCCTGTTTCTCATGGAGCTGGATTGGTGTGTGTTGGCAGGAGGCAGCTCCCTTACATGCAGTGCATACTCTGCCTCAGAACCACCAAGAAAAACAGTCGCCAACCAAGTCTCAGCTATTCCATTACAACCACAGCCCCTTTTGCTTCCAGTCCTGTGAAATTCCCAGGATGCAACTCAATGATTCCTCTGAGGGCTTCAGCAAGCTGAACACAGCACTCCAGGATGGCTTAGAGGTACACATGACCTCAGTGGCTATCTCCTGGATGCTCTGTTCCTTCACTATGAAATCTGGGACTGTAAATGCGAAGACTAAAGTTTCCCACAGAACACAGGGGAAAAGAGGCAGGTCCAAGGAAAGAAGCTTCTGAATCCAGCCATGCTGTGTATTTACCACCTGGCAGCATGGAGTGAAAGACAGATAAGAAACATATGGATTAGGCACAAAAAGTATCTAACCAGAGCAAACAGGGAACCCAGTTCTGCCTGGACAGGTGCATTTATCTCACTTAAGAACTGTACTCATTCCACCCCTCCTTCCATAAACATATGCACACAGAAACCACAGCACTGCAGGTAGCCTAGTTCTTGACAGCTGGACATGCCACGGAGGAACCTGAGCTGAACTCTGTTTGCGTACTCAGAGGATGGATGCAAACTCAGAGGCACACACCAATGAAGTATCTTTAGCCCTTGGCCAGGGTAAGCATTGGGCCAGGCCTGTCTTGTTCTGTTGGGAATGGGGAGCTCTGCTGTCCTCCAACAAACACCTTGCACCGTAACAGAGGATACCCAACCACAGCAAAGGGAGCAAGATGAGCTTTAAAGCAGCCCACTGTCTGCATCAGGGAGCTGGGATGATTTCTCACTTCACAGACACGTATTAACTACTACAACATGCTCATGGCTGTAGTTTCTGCAGTGGCTGCAGAGGGATGAGGGGTTAATATTGCCTCTCTGTGCACACAGAAACACCTCCCCACAGAATTCAGGTGCTGGGACTACACAGCTCATCAGCCTTGGCGCATCAAGAGCAGCAGTGAGTGCACCCAGAGGTGCTGGCAACAGCTGAGGGGCCCATCTGCTGCTCTGCATTTGCAGGATGGAGCGCAGAAGAACATTTGCATCCACTGCAGTGTGCCTTGCAGATCTGCCCCTGGAGGAGTTGTGCCTTCTTCCCACTGTCAGCTTTTTCAGCGAGTGTAATCCTGGCTCTCTCAGCCTACGGAAAGATCCACCTCAGCTATAAAGTATTCCCTTCAGGAACCATAAAAAATTAATTATTCAGCAGCATGAGCCTTAAAGAATTTATTTTTGTTTGGCAGAAAATATCAACAAGCAAATGACAGAGCAGCGCACTGCCTTGCCAAGACAAGGGGAAGGTTCACATTAGGGTTTAATGTCATGGCATCGAAACAAAAGCCCTCTTAACTCATGGTCTGTTTAGTATCAGCCAGATTGAAACCAAACTCAGCTTTTGTTGTGCAAAGCGCCTAGCCATACCCTAAGCTCTGTATATGAAATGAGGCTTGCCATAAGAGATACAACGCTTCCTGCCAAAGCCAACAGGAGATGCTGAGGAGGCTCCAAATGAAGTTTTTGATACCATGTGCAGTACATCTGTTTCTAATGTTCCTGCGTGCCGTTTGCCCGATCGCACAGTGCTGTTCACCTATGAGCAGGCACCACATGTACCTGTCACTGACATGCCCAGGCCCATCTCTGGGTACGAGGCTGAACCATTGCCCTCCAGGGCACACGTGGGCTGTCTCTGCGACGTGGTGGCTCTCAGTATGTAATGCTGTCGTGAGACGAGGAAAGCAGGCTAGACTTGAGAGAAAAAATAGAGCCCCTACACCAAGGAAATCTGTGGATCGTATTGCTTCCCACAATGCTCCTAGAAGCCATCCATGCTGCCATGCAAAGACATGGCAACCAGCTCACCTCCACTGTGTCACCGAGGCAGAGGAGGGGCACACCACGTGACTGTGCTGACAGTCTCCAAGCACCTGCTGCTGCTGCTGCTGCAGCCACCACTTCCACGCAGCACCACGCAGACACAGAGCGCTGCTGCAGCACACGGTGACGCACAGGCACGGACCCGCGTTTGCCTTGTCTGCTAGGGATGGATTTCCATCTCTTAGCTTTCTCGGTTTTGCTTTGGTGCTCAGAGGCTTTATGGATTGTTAAGTAAAGCTGCTGATTTTTCCGAATACTTCAAGTGCCTACCTGGCCTTCTTGAAAATTCTCCTTTTTCCCCAACTCGGCACTTTCTTACCTGCGCATATGTTCTTCACTCTGTGGCTGAGTGATTTAGAACACAGAACAATGTAAAGCCATATTGTTTTTTGTTTGTTTGTTTGTTTTTTTCTTTCCTAACGTTATATAAGCCAAGCAGCCTGTAACCTGATATTCCCACATGGTTTATTTCACGTAGCCCTCAGAAAGCCTATTTAAAAATCAGGTCGATAAAAGGAAGCATGAAGGTGCAAAGCAGCAGTATTCCTTTATTCCTGGCTGCCATGCTCAGGTAAAGTGAATTCCACAATGGCGAGAAGCTGCTCTGCTCTGATGCAAAAGCTGGAGGCAGCACAGGGACTGAATAAGCATCAGCTGTACACAAATCCCTTTGGGCTTGTGCTGTAAATACCACTGCTGTAGCTACGGCAGCATACAAACAGGGGACTTCAGCTCCAGTTAGACTGCTCAGCACCAAATATATTCTGATCCTCTAAAATTATAATGGAGTAAGTTAAAAATATACAGGTGGCAGCTGAAAAAGTGTTCCTTACACAAAGAAAGAACTGAGCAGAAAATCTGCATTTCCATGGATGGAGCGGAGAAATCCTGCACTACCTGAGAGTGGGGGTAGAGGAGCAGCTCTCATGTCTCATTAGTATTATCACCGTTCTGCCTTTGTTCCGATGGGTTTCAAAAAGTGAAAACTGAAAAAAATCCATTTTAAAGCAGAAAAAATAAGTAAGTGTCTTTGCTGAGCATCTCAGATAACACCTCTGAAAGGAAGTGCTGTACAAGTGGTCTTTGTGGAGGGGAATGCCAGCAATACAACTTTCTTTATGAAGTCCTTTCATAATAAATGGCTCTATTAAATGGAAAGTGACATAAAAATAGCTTAATTAAAAATGAAATAAAACATAAGAGCAGTTCTGAGGGAGCTCCTTCTCTGGTTAGCTCAGCTTCCCGTGGTTAGTGCTGTGTTTTGGAAAATGTTTGTAGGATACTGTGGCATTCCCAGCAAGTGTGATCCTGCCACCCGGCCACTTGAACCATGCAAACACATCCACTTAAAAAACAAACCTGAGATAGTGTCGGTTCTCCAAAGGGTCAGAAAACCACCTAAAGACAGGGGTTTGCGAGCTGCCCAGAGGTTCAGAAGTGAACATCTTGCAAATGATTTTATCGCCCACCTCCTTTTTTTCCACTAAAACACTACAACTTCTTTTGCTGGCACAGAGCGAGTGAAACCTGATCTCCAAAGAATGAGCTGTTACTGCAGTACTAATAATACTCTCCCTGCCTCCCACTAAGATTTTCAATGTTTTAATGAACAACAGAACAATATTTGAAAAATAATTCCATATGTACATTCTGTAAACAGACCTCAGGCTCTTATACAGATTTGACCTGAAGTGCACTGTACTGTACTGTCTCTACAAAACTGAAATTTAAGTCAAGTACAAAGAAGTACATTTAAATTCAGGCTCTGAAAGCAAGAGTTACAGTTTCTTTGTGCAGCACGTTTACCTTCCTGCCCACCTAGGGTGAAATAGGACAGTTTTTATCTTTGCTGCAGTTTATCAGTTGTTACTGGGAGGTCATCCCTGAGTGCTACTGGGTCCCAGCCCTGCCTGTGGGATGACACCTCCACAGCACCCAAACCTGGCTAAACTCGCTCTTTGATCTCAGGAGCCTTCAGTCATTTGCTGACCATGACAGCTTCAGAGAGAAGGGGTGCCAGCCCAGCAAGACCCAGTGCCCTGAGCGACTGTGGGGCACTGGAAACCCCCAGGCTGGGGAGAGCATCATAGCTGGTCCACCTGCATCCTCACAGGGGGTCCACCTGAGATGGATGGGATGTGAGAGCTGCTATCAGCAGTGAGGGGTATGAGTGTGCCCATGGAGCTGTATCCCTGCCTTGGGATTCTGCTATGGAGAATGTACAGGTACAGCCCTGCTGCTGCTCAGAGGGCCAAAACTGCTGCGCTTACCACTCCATCAGCCAGAACCAGCTTATTTATTCCCAGCCCAATGTTACAGACACCTGCTCTGAAATCATGAGCTGCTCCTATGCACCAGGCACTCACCACAACCCTTCTGAGTTGTTCGGAGTTGAGGCACCCACAGCCTGGGCGTTTTGGGACTAAACTTTTATTTTCCTACTGTCATCCATGACATCTCGCCCCTGATGCATGCAAAACAAACACCTAGCACTGAAATGAAACAGGACAGAAAGAACAACCTAACAACACAGCAAATTTTATGCTTGAGAAAAACCCAGTTAAAGCTTCAAGTAACCAAAATGGTTCCAAAGTCTTTAAAAGTCAACAATATAAAAAAAAAAAAAACACCTGTAAAAGATCAGCAAATCAATTCATCATTTATCAGCAGATGCCCTGCGTGGTGTATGTGCACTACCGCTAACTGAGGACCACAGCTAACATCATTTTTGCAGTTGAAGAGCCTCTGATCTTAAAGGAATCACTGGAGAACACACTACCATTTAAAAGAGGAGAAGGCAGCAGAACCCAGCCCTTAATGACTTGTGTTCTCACATTTTACTTGGCAATTGACCTTGAATTTGTCTGTTAACAACTTTTCCCAGACATTTCTTTAAAAAAGTGCTGTGATTTCTTTTCAATTTTTTTTTCTTCCTATGAATTAGCACAATTAAAAACTACAAGTTTACCTTAACGGAGAGAATTTTACTCAACTTGTCTGCACCACTTGAGGAGTTGTACTTACATCATGCATGGAGTCAAGAAGTTTAGTCAGTTGGTAGAATCTCTGCCAGCTTTGCCCAGAGTTACTTGGACATTTAGTTACCATCTTCTTTAGTTCTTTAATGTAATTTGCCCTCATTTCTTCAAATGCAGCTTGGCTTTTGAGACCATCCTTGGGAACTGTCATTAAAAAGACAGTCTTACATTAATATTAACTGCATTGCTTAATTCTTCTGCTGTGCATACTCAAAAGTTACACTAGTCAATGGATGAAAGAATTAAAACTTTCAAGTAACATCCACAATTTTACAGACACTGCTATAGAATCAATCAGCACACAGATCTTCAAGTGATTCAAGCGGCCTCTCTTCCTCTCCAGATCCATGAGTGCAGACCATATGGCTGAGGCAGAGGACAAAATAACATCTCACAAATACGACACATACTACCCTCGTGCTGAAACTGTTTTTAATACAAACCCAACCACACACACACACACCGAGAAAGGCAGATGTATCATGAATACTTCTTTAGAATCTGAAGATGTGATTTATCATTCTTGAATGATTTCCCACACTTCAGAGAGGAGGGGAAGAAATACAGAATTACAGCTGTGATGTGCAGAAATGCTCAAAAGTGGCATCAAGTAACATCTAACATTTCTTTGAATGATAGTGAGCATCTGCTTAACACCTAGAACAGAGGGTCTTTATTCCATGTGTAACAAGACTCTTTCCCAAATAGGCATCCAGACCCAGGGTTTGACCAAAGCACAGTTGCAGCCTTTAATGAAAGCGTTTCTACCATCCTATCAAAGTTGTCATCTGCCAAAGGAATCGTTTCACAAATGGGCTAAAAGTGGAGTTTTGACACTTTCTACCGCAGATGACTTCAGCAACGCTAATTACAAAAGCAAATACAAAGTTTCTTTACAGGCTGTAAGTACTTCTGCACTCCAGTGGGCTCTGCAAAGAAACAGGAATTACTTATTGATCAGGTCTCTGGGAAACTCCTGAAGAGGTTATTAAAAACACATAAAATGTTTTCATGTTTTTATACCTGGATTGATTGATTATCGCTTAACTGTCAGATATTTCTATACTCTAAATGTTGGTCTACAGAAAAAAAACAAAATACTACACTGTACAAGATTGAGCTTATTTTCTAAGCAAGTTGGAAAGCTATGTCAGAGTAAGCTGAATGTGAAGTTACTTATTAAAAAAGAAAAAGGGGTGATCTTCCAATTTAGCTTACTCTGATTTAACATCTTGACAGAAATTGTCTTGTTCATCCATCCCCTTCTCTTTGAAATCCTGTAAACTGCCTTCTATCTCACTGTAATCACATAATAAGCACATAACAACCACCCAAAGTGCTCAAGCAGAGGCCTTAAGAAAAAGCACTTGTTATCTTCCATCACCAGTATCAACCAGAGCAATTTAGTAATGGAAAACAAGGAGGAGTTCTGCCACCATGTGAGCAGCAAGAACTTGGGACCACCAAGTGCTCCAAGGGGGCATGAAGAGGAATCTTTGGAAGCAGCCTAGGAGGTAATAGCTCCAACCTGCCTACCACTTGGTAAATAATGCTCTTTTCCATTTAAATTTTAAATTGTAGATGCCAGATATTTCCATCACTCAGCTGACAGAAAAAATAAACTGTCTGAAACAGATGTGCCAATTCAGTTAAAGCCAAACGAATATAGAGACATCAGTCAAGATGAGTAAAGCCATTAGAGCATACTGTGGCCCCTGAGTAAAATGCACAAGCTTTATAGTTCCTTTAACACAGTTCTGTAGTTCTGTCTTCCTAATCTCTGCTCAAGCCACTCTTACTTGGTCTATGTATCTTAGTGTTCTGTCTGAAAATTATTATACCGTCACCCCAGCCAGATTATTAAGACAGAAAGAGAGACCACAAATAAAGAGAACTGAAGCAAAACATGAAATTCTGGATGTTTGCCCAGTGTTTCTGATTCTACTTATTACATGCAGCAATGCTTTTGGCAAGTTCCCAAAATCTATGGTCTGTGGAAAGCAAAAAAACAATTGAGTTGTAATGTGTGGTTTCTTCCACATGTAAATGGAGTGAAACTTCCTTGATGTGGTCATCACGAAAGTTTCAAAATAACTTGCACTCCGTTCATTACAGGGTTCAATAAAGAACTTAAATGAAAATGAACCTGGTGTTTTCTGTCATAATGTTGTATCAAGGTGCAATCATTGGAAACTAGGTTTGCTGTTCTTCCAATGACACTTTCTGGATTTTACCACTGTCTTCATTTCCTTTTTCTTCTCCTCTCTTTCCCTCAACATAAGTATCTTGATTCTCCCAAAACACATTATTTTTAGTAGATGTTGTAGTGACCATGGTGTGCATTTCAAAGGGACCCAGCTAGCTGGAATTAACTGGTGAGGCTGATCTCATCTAGCAGAGATATAATACCCACATAATATTAAAAATACCTATCTTAAGGAAAGGATGCTACATTTTTAGAATGTCTTTAGGCTCTTTTTCTAAATATTCTCCATTTCTGGGGCTGGTTAAAATGTAGGAGGACCACCTTGCCAATCTAGACATGCTCTCAAGAACAGTCTGAGAGCTAAATCTCCCAGGCGCATAAATGCTGCTAGCTGCTTCCTGAAAGACTGTCAGGTCCTCACGGTCCCACCTTCCCCAGCAGAGCATCCCCTCAACTCCTCAGGGGAGCTGGAGGTCAGACCCTGTTTCCCTCCAGTAGGCATTGCCCCACTCCTGGGAGAGCTGGATGGCTTCAGCAGGAGGGAAGGAGGAAGCGAGACAGCCAAGCCCAAAAACTTACAGCCCTTGGGAAGTTTCTGTTAGCAGATCCAAATCCCTTCCAGCAAGGATGAGAACTGCAGATTCATGTCCTCTTTCATAGGCAAGCACTCTAATGTGCTACCGGCTGGGCGGGGTGGGTGAGGTCAGAAGGAAAGGCACCGCAGACAGGGTGAAAGTGCCTGTCCCACCACCGCACCTGGAGGGGCTGCCAATGGCCTTGACTGGATGCTGCAAATCCCTTTGTAGGCACCTTACTTTGCCTGCAGCAACTGTGCCTGTGCCACTGCTGGGGACTCAGCAAACTCCTGGGTGTCCTAACCAGCTGCTGACAGCGCTCCCTGGGGCCGGCCTCCTGCTGCTTACAATTGAAAGCAAGGAGCAGCCCCTTAGATCTCCTGCTCCTTCTCTCCCCAGACAGGGCCACATCCAACCCCTTTCCTGCCAGGGGAATTCTTGCTTGGTGAGTTCACTGAAGTGACATCACGAGTGCTCATTAATCAGACTGATTCATTATCTCATTGAGAGGTCACTGAGTGAATCTCACAAAAAAGAGCATGAACATATACAGAAAAGTTTGTTTACAGGTATTCGGCTTTTTCCTCAAGACTGATGGGAAAGTACAAGCTGCCTCTGTATTTATACAATTGTACTGGGACTGGAAAATTTTCAGAAGTTTTAGCAGAAGAATATCAACTGATCTGCTAATTAGTACATAGTGCTATAATGAACACCGAAGTTTCCTATCTTAAAAGAACTACAAAGCATGACAAGAGAGAAAAATAAAGCTTGCACTGTCAATTATTAAACTTTCAGAGTACTGCAAAAGGGCTTATCATGCTCAGTTCGGCACATCTTTTGATCTCGGAGGTGCTGGTAAGTCACCCAAACCAGTGGCTTTGAGCATCGAGTCAGGGTTTATCCCAAATCCCCAGAGTGCAAGACAATGCAGTAGTTGCATCTTCTTGGCATGCCTGACTGACTCCAGTTGTTACTAAACTGAGAGAGGGACCAAAGCCCCTTGCCCTACCACTTAATCTGAAGTATCAAGACAACTCCCATGGTAATGGAAAGCAAGACCGACTGATAAATCCTATAACATATAAACAGGCTTTTCTTGCAGGTCCACTGGAAATAGTTGGGCTCTTTTGTTTTACCAGTTCAAATCACTGCACCTCTTTGCAATTTGGAATATTTTCAGGTATTTTCACGTACCCATGAATTTAACTTACCTGTACTCAGCAGCAGCAAAACTTTCATGATGGTGTACTCCTCAAAGCTGAGCTGCAAGCGAACAAACTGCAGACTGATCTGATGCATCCCCTGGCACAGTTCAAACATTGCAGACTGGCGCATCCGTTCCCTGGAGTGAGAAAAAAAAAAATCCAGAAGATAAACACATGAGGACAAAGGATACAAGGCAGTCTGAACAGTAGGAAAGTGAGACACAACCTGGAAATCAAACACGGAGGTCAGTGAGACAAACTGCAGCTGCCAAGCTCAGGTCAGGTGATGGAGCTAGGGATGTGGCCAGGATCCTACCAGCTCCAGGGAGATGCCTTGTCTCCCTGCTCTCCACTGGCAGAAAAGCTACCACGTATGGCTAAAAGGTGTCTGAATCATCTGTGTTTATTCAGCTCCACCATGGCAGCTAACATCGTGACTCTCATCATCCCAAATAATGAAGCCCTGCAAAGACACAGCTGGCAGGTCTGGAGAGTGAGAAAGTGCTTTAACAAAAAGCACAGCACAATGTTTGACTTCGTGTTTCTGCCTTCACGTGCACTGAGGAGTTTGAAGTCAAAAATCAATGGGGACAGCCAGGGCATCAGGCAGCAGCACTCACACAATCTTTCCCAAGTAATCTCCATTTCCAAATCTCCAAATCTTTCCCTAAAAATACACAAGGTCTATCTTTAAGGACATGTAGGAAGAACAAGGGAAAATGATTTTCCAGCCACTGAAGATCTTGTTAATGTGCAACACTGGACCTCCTAGTGGGAACTATTAGACAAAATTATTGCTGTGGTTTCATGTTCAATCTCTACAGAGTATTAAAAATTGTGCATGATTTTTCCAAAATAATCATCTGAGATAGCCCAAAGTGAAGGAGTGCATAATAAGATTATTCGTTAATACAGATTTTTGAATGTCACTTGTAAAATACTAAAAATACATAAGTTGTTCTCAGTTTACTTTTCTTCCTTCCCGTACGCTTTAATACATTGAGCTTCAGATTCTAACTCTGTTCTCAAAGGCAGCCCCAGGCTAACCTATCCAGAACAAGTTGCAGGCAGAATTTGTGGGTTCTTTTTTTGCTGCTCTTTTAAACGTGCTATCCCAAACCACAGAAGTTAAATCAGAGTCACTGAGGATTGCCTGTCTCATTCTGAAAGTAAGATATATATGTGGGTATTTAGATGAGGTGCTATAATTGCTCAGAGACCACTACGTTTTTTTTCTATTATTTTAAATGCTCAACAACAATTGTCTGTATTTCTTCAAACACTTTTTCACATAATTGAGGAACTGGATGAAGTTCAGCTAATTATTTTAACCAAGCAACAGGTTTTTCAAATATACAAATTGGCTGGTGAATGAGAAGAATCATACTGTGTGCAAACAAAGACTTACGTAATCTTCCTGGTGTTCTATTTCACCACTGCCAGAGCAGATTTTATTTTCCTCCTCCATACCAATAAAACGGACTCCCCATTGTTATATGGGCTCTACACTTTTCCCCTGCTCCACCCTTGTCTTGGGACTAAGAACTTCCAGATTTTTTTTTTTTCTTCAATAGTAGTAGTAAATGCCTTGTTTATTTATTTTTATTATCCATCACGGACTGCAGGGAAGTAAACAAATAGAAGAAAATAACCTTTGAATGTTGACTAAAATACCACTTCGTCAGGCCTTTCAGCAGAGCAGTGACTGCTGCTGCTTCCACAGAGCACTGGAGGCACAAGGGGTTTGCCTGTTCCACAGGCAACATTTGCACTCTTAACACCACTGCTTGCTCTGAAAACAGGTGAGACTCCGAGAGACCCCAGAGGACAATTTCTCTCCTCCTGCTCCCCTCACTCAGCTCGAAATAACCAAATCCTGCTCTAGGATGGAGATGCTGTGCCTCCTGACTGACGCTGAAGTTGAAAGGCAAAAGCTAGAGGGACTGTATTTTATAAATATATAAAAATTTACACCTCAGAAGTCTATCAAATAGCAGGACTCAAAGCAAGACCAGTGCAATATGCTCGTTATTACCTCCCTGGGGCACAGAAGACAGTCTCCTCAGGCTGAGAACATCATGCAGTTTTCAGCACCGCTGCCTGCGTTTGACCTCCACAGACACAGGAAGTGCCAGAGCTTTCATCTGATACCACAAGCCACATAGCAAATAAAATGAAACATTTTGAGGTTTTGTCTCAGGTTTCGTATGCTTTCACTAAACAGTGTGGCAAAACACTCTCTGTGGCAGCTAACCTAGAAGTGTCCTGACTCAAGACCTTCTTTTGTCCTGCTCTGTAGATTTCGTGACATTTTACATTTGATCACTGAAGTTTTTCTGTGTGATCGTTTTGCTTTCGTGGATTATGACGGCCTAAATAGAAGAATTTTAGTATAAGTCAGTTTTTTGTTCGTCTTTTAACTATTTATTCCTTTATCTACTTGAAATACCTGATGATATTTTATCAGATAGGTAAAATGATATATAGCACTAGTTACAAAGCAGGTTGATTTAGTGTACACCAAAGCAGTAATTTTAAATTAGTTTCCTTCCTGAAAATCAGTTGATTTATTATTTATTTAGAAGTTACTGCTAACTACAAATTACGCCAGTTTATGACTGCTTAATATAAAATAAGCACTTTGTGGGAGTTTACAGTATTCATCTCTGCACTAGATTTTAATCCACACAGTGTAAAATAAGAGAGCGCAGAGCTGTTGGAAAATTCAGATGCTAACATCAAGTGTCCTAATGCACTGAGAATAACAACAAAAGCCATATACAGCTCATTTATTGAGATCGGTAGGTAACACTCAATTTGGGGCTTGATGATATAACACAAGTCAAGCTATTTCTTCCTTACTGAATGCCTTATCTAAGAATAAAGACCACCACGTCATCACAAATGCCATTATAGCCATGGGGAGAAAGCGAGGTAGAGTTCCATGCTGCCCAATTTTAATATATACATATATATATACATATATACACACACATATATATATACACACATTTACTTATTTAAGAAAAAAAAACCCAGATCTATGTCTTACACAGAATATTCACTCCTTGACATAGAAAACAAAGACTGTGAAGATCCGGAATATAAGAGCATGTATCTTTATGGGCATATTTAAGAAGGTAAGTACATTTAAGTAATAAAAGGCATGGAACCAAAGCTCTGAACCTGCTGTGTGGCTACTCATTCAAAAGTGGTGTCATTAGCTCAGTTTAGCTTAATCCTCCTTCATAATAATATGATTTAAACTTTACACCTTAAGTTAATCCATCTTAAGTTCCCTGAGTGTCTCCTTACAGGCTTAATGTAATGCTGGGATCACATCCTGCCTGACCCCTCCTGAGACCTCAGCAGTTGGGGCAGCGAGAGTGGCCAAGCACAACCACAGCAATTCCCCTCATGTACTGCAATTTCAATCTGCCTGTGTAGAGCTTCTTTCACCACCAATCTCCTTCACTAACTGGTCACTAAATAACTTACCATGTCCCTGCTGGAACCAGAGGGCAGCATCCTTCCCTTCCTTTCCACTGGAGGAAGACAGGGCAGGTGCCCTGACTGCTGAAATCCCAACAGCATGGCAAGTGCCTTGGCAGAAGAGCAGGGTGCTGCTGTTGTTGGGTTTCTCTCAGTGAACCACAGCAAATATATTTGTACTTAATCAAGAAAGTCCCAGGTACTTGCCTCACTATCTTTCCACTCTATCCTGTCCTAAGCTCAGGCCATCACAGTACCAGCTCAACACAGAAGCCTGTTTCATCCTCAGCATCTACTCAGAGAGAGTTGAACACGTGAAGGAGAACACTGCAAACCAACCCAGCGCTCCTTCTGTTCCCCTATTCCATGCAAGCAGCTCCACTTTTGCATAGAGGTAAATGACTCGAGCAGCTGGCACACAAACCGGACAGGTGCCCCAAATCACCACAGGATGAGCCACTCAGCTTCAGCAAAGACATAGACTTTGAGGAGTCACACTGGAGGAACTCAAAGGTTTACTCAAGGCATCCTAAATACCAAACTAGTCACATCTCATAAATATCTTCATGTGATCTTCGCAGATGCCCAACAGCAACAGCAAGACTTGTGCAACTACTGGCATGCTGTACAGACACAACTTGTCATGAATAAATACATTTTAATTTATGAAATCATAAAGTTGAGTACTGTAAAGCTCATTAGGTACTGAGACTGCAACTCTGTAACCAAACAGAGAAACCCACGCATCAAAAAATATTCACTCAAAGGCAAAACACAGCCCCAAACCAAACCATGTCTTATAGACTTTCTCACCAATACTATTCAAAGCCACTGCACGTCTTCCCAGTCAGGGAAAGAACAAAGGGGAACCTGTGGTGCGTTTTGAAGATTCATCAGTACTCAAGCAGCATGCTGATAAAGCTGAGAAAAACTGGGCAAAGACAACCTCTTCCACAGCACCTCAAAGAACACACAGGTGGCTGAGCTGGTCCCTTGGCCTTTGCAGCTCTGAAAAGACTTAGAAAAAGACCTAGTAATGCTTGTAGCAAAGAAACACTTTTGTGCCAAAGACACAGTTTGCACTTCCTGATCTTACTTTTATTCCCTGTAACAACTGTTTCCAATTTTTATAATCAACAGCCTTTTCTTGCTAGCCTAAAATCTACTCATTTCAAAGTCGTACATCACCCAAAATGGATTCACATTGTAACAAAAACAAGCAAACAAACAAACAAAAGAAATGCAAGAAGAAAACCTGCCAAAAGCTTAGAAGTCGAAACAAGTTTGGAAACATCAGAAAGGAAGGTATGCTTTCCACTATGCCAGGAGGTTTGGCAAAGAGGAGCGAAACATCATCAGACACCCTTCTGGCAAGGCAGCCAAACTGCAGATAAGAGTGAAAAAGACCAGGGATATGATATCACAGTCACTCATTCAGCTGCTCAAAACATCTGATTAGAAATGCCTGTGGCCTGAATCATCTTACCTGCTCTAGAAGGGGTTCACTTTTCTTAAAAAAGTTTTGAGATTCTTGGGTTAAGATGAAAAGAAGCTTATTATTATAACAGCAACTTACTCTTTCTTGATGGACAATTTTACTTCATCATGAGATAGAGTGGAAAAACATGACATTACATAGCAAAAA